AAAACAACAATTAAAAAATAAAACTCCCCGCACTTGTATCAATAAAGTAGTATCCATTTGTTCCACCTGATATTAAGTGGACCCTTTTTTATAGGAGAGGGTTCAAACGAGCATGCGGCTCACCTGATGTTAAGTGACTACCGCCGCCCATGAACAACCGCAATACCAGGGGAATTGCAGATGCGTTGCCGGCCTTTTAGAAAGGTGTAAGCTCTTTTATTGAAGGTCCTTATGTCATATCGGTCCAGAAAAATCGCCGGTGGTAAACAATTCCACAGAAAAGTTGTACGAGGAAGAAAACTCCTAGTAAATCGCACAGTCGTGGACCGCCAAGCATCCAGATGGTGAGGATGGTATCGTGAATTTTGACGCGATGTGCGTTCGTGAAATTTGGCGGCTGGAATTAATTCGAACAACTCCTTAGAGCACTCCCCGTGGTAGATTGGATTTCGATTCGTAGATTCGGTGGTAGACCCTGCGGCTTTTAGACACTGTGCTGATGCGACTGATATTGAAGCTATATTTGTTTTGCAAAAGAGAGCCGTACGGGCGATTTATAATCTAGATTGTAAAGAGTCCCTCAGAGAAAAATTTAAAGAAATAAACATATTAACTTTGGCATCGCAATATATTTATGAAAATGTAATGTATGTACATAAAAACATAAATAGCTTTAATAAGAATAAGGATGTTCATACCTTAAACACTAGGAACAAACATAAGCTTGTAATGCCAGTTACTAGATTCCACCGAATTGGTAATTCATTTATGGGGCAATGTTTACAACAAAATCCCAGAACATGTTCAAAGTTTGTCAATAAACAAGTTTAAAGGTTTTATTAAAGAAAAACTGTACAAAAAGGGTTATTATAATATCAAGGAATACATGAATGAAAATAACCCCTGGGAATAAGGTGATCGCCACCATGCTGGTTCTATGAAAATTCATTTAAAATTGTATACAAAATTATTGTTAAGCGAAATTATGTTTAAAAAAAAGTCCCGCTGGGTTTCTTGCTGGTTCTTCTCAGGACAGAGGTATTTTCCGAACCAGTGGTAAATAAAATAATGACTTTCAATAAGTATTATGTAATAATCCACATTGAATAAAAATCATTCTATTCTATTCTATTCTATTCATACATCTTATGATTGGGCTTTTTTTTAACCTAGTTTACTTTATTTTATTTAATACGATACCAAACAGACGGTAGTTACATAAAGATCTAAAATTACGTCGCCATCATCATTGCGTAAGAAAGCTAAAATATATATATATAATATTTCCACGGCTTGACAAACCCCTTTTCCATTGTAGACAATCTTCTCTTACGTATTTCTGCCGCAAAACGGCGGCGCACTGCTGATTTATGGCAGCAACGTAAGAGAAGATTGTTTCTACCTAGAAGGCTTCTAAAACGTTTGTCTACTACCTACCACCTAAAGAGTCTGTTAATTTTTAACTGACTTCAAAAAAGGAGGAGACTGAATTCTTCTGTATTTAAATACATTCTTATTAAGTGGCGAAGCTTGCGAAGTCACTTATTAATTTCACGATGTCTGTCCGTCTGTCCGTCTGTCCGTCTATCCCACGATTATCTCAAGAACGGTTTCGAATTTTCAAATTCTGTTTTCAGCAATCGATTACTGATCACCCAGGCATCTGAAGCTCCTATTTTGAAACTGATTGCTCAACGGCAACAGTTAGAAACCGCTACAAAGCTGATTGCTTCGCCACTTTGCTATGCTGTTAGCTTCCTAGGTTTATTATTTTATGTTGCCAGCTACCGATTGCCTCGTTTTATCTGATTATGACTGCAGGTCGTGCAAAAAAACAGTTATTGAGCTTTTCCATCAAGAAATTCTCAGTAGCTGCCCGGAGTCAGGAAGCTGGCGGTGTCTCACCCCCGTGCCTCGGAAAGCACGTAAAGCCGTTGATCCTGCGCCTGATCTCTTTCCGGTCGTGTCGGTTTACCCTCCCATCGGACTTTGAGAGTGGGGGGAATAGAGAGTGTACCTGTGTTTGCGCATACACTTGGGCATTATAAAACTGTCCTGCGCCGATGGCTAGTCTCCATTGAGGCTGACCGCTGTAACCGAAATTCGGTCTGGAGGACATTATTATAATTATTTTATGTACAACATTATGATTTTCTACCGACTTAAAAAAGGAGACGGTACTCAATTCGACTGTATGTTTTTTATGTGTGTTACCTCATAACTTTTTTCTGGGTGAATCGAATTCAATGATTCTTTTTTATTTGAAAGTTGGTGCTTGTCATGTAGTCCCATATAAATTTGATCAAGGTCTGACTATTAGTTTTTAAGTTATTCTTAATAATTGTACAATTTTTTTTTATTTTAAATTGTAATTAATTTTTTTTACTAAATAGACCCTCGAAGATACCTCGCGGGTGGTTCAATATAAATTTGAAGAAAAATTACAATCCAAAAGATTTCAATGTAACTGTTTAGACGACGTTAATTTTAGTTGTTATCTTCTAAAAGCGATGCTAAATAAAGTAATATATCGAAGAATTTAAACCCCGACTTAAGAAGCTAGTATGTAGTAATCATTTAATACTTTGTGGCTTTTGAACTCAGTTTTTACTTTGTATAAATTAAATTTTTAATCTAAACAATACCATATTTTTAAAAAGAACAAAATATATCAAACAAACCTATGTATTATTGTATTTTTTATTGAACACAATACAAAAACAAAGTGATGGTTATCATTACTTCATTAAAATTCACATAATGTGTGCACACTGCATGCAAAATTATCGTGTGTGATCTTAGAACCACAAAAAAAAATATAAAGAGCGCTACGTACATTTCAAGTGACGCTGATACTAAGTCTCTTCTCTGAGAGATGACTAACATATTTGTGCCATTTGCTAGAGACTATCGGTCCGTGGGCTCCACGTGAGGTGAAGTTTCTAAAGGAACAAAGGAACTGTATTCGCGACTGGTCGTCTCTGACGTTCTCGGCACAATATCGCGGGAAGTAAGAATGTATGATTATTTAAGTTTTTTTTTTATTATGGTAATAAATATTGTATACTAGCTGTTCCCCGCGACTTCGCTCGCGTGTTAGCGTTTTTATGTTTTTGTACGGAACCCTAATTATTTTTCTAAAATAAAAGTAGCCTAAGTTACTCCTTATGAAATCAACTATTTGTCAGTGAAAGCCCCGTCAAAATCGGTCCAGCCGTTTCGGAGATTACCCGGAACAAACAGACAGACAGACAAAAATTTTAAAAATTGTATTTTAGTTATAAGTACCGTATTTACTTTCATATGCATTAAGTAAAAAACTGTAATTTTTACATTACAAACAGACACTTCAATTTTATTTATTTGTATAGATTTAAAAATAATTTAAAATTAAAAACTTTGTACAGCCGACTTCAATATAAGTTATTAAGAATAACTCAATAACTATTGATCTGACCTTGATCAAATTTATATGGGACCACACGAGAAGTACCAGCTTTGAAACAAAAAAAAAAGAGTCATCGAAGTCGGTTCACCAGTAAAAAGTTATGAGGTAACAAACATAAAAAAAACATACAGTCGAATTGAGTACCGTCTCCTTTTTGGAAGTCGGCAGAAAACATATTGAACTTATTGTAAGAACACGCCCCTACCTACCTACCTACCTAGCTACCTACACAAATACATCTAAAATTATAATTATGCAACCTACAACATAGTTTTAGGTACATATGTGTGCGTCCAGCAATGGACTTTTAGGTGCTAATAAAAAAGAAAGAAGAAGTTGAGCATAATTTCGACGTCACTTAAAATGTACCCAACGCTCCGTCTATCTTTCTCGTAGTTGCTCTGAATGTGTTATATAAATGAACGCAGAAGCATCACCGTTAACCATTTAAATATTGTTATCTACTTACGTGTATTAAATTAAATTGAAGTGTCTGTCTGTAATATCGTAACTGCTTTTTTTTTAAACTGAGAGTGTTATTTGAATGCCATTAAAACATCAATAACTTTTTTATTAACGTTTTTTCTGTCTGTCTATTTGTTACTTGTTAATAAGAAGACCCTGCTGATCATTTTCTCGTTTGTTTCCCCCTATAGCCTATAACACCCACGGAACGATAGCAGGGTAGTCGAAGTTTTTTAGTTGTTATTAAGAAGATGCTGCTACCCATCTACTTGTTTGTTACCCTCTATCACCTCATACAACACTCACCGGGCGATAATGGTGTAGGAGATATTCTTACACCGCCTCTAGACGGTGTATAAACTATTTATATGCATATGATTTCGTCGCCATCATCATTGCGTAAGAAAACTAAAATATGTACATAATAAATTTATATATAATATTTCCACGGCTTGACAAACCCCTTTTCCATTGTACACAATCTTCTCTTACGTATTTCTGCCGCAAAACGGCGGTGCACTGCTGATTTGTGGCTGCCTGTGAAGCATTTCGTCTTTCCTCAGCGATGAAATACGCATATTAACATCTGGTACGAAAAGGAGCAGGCGGAGACTACGGTCTCCCATTTGGCATCCTGATACACCTCTCTGTACTAGAATTATTTTGTCCGTGCAGTTTGGGCCATAAATCATGGGAGTATTTCGCCCTCTCTTCTATTCACGGGCCTTAGGGGCGAACATAGTGATGCGCATTATTGTTGTCGATAAGCGTTATCGATAGTGTATTTAGTTTTGTCATTATGTGGGTTAGTAATAAAAATAAAAAAAATATAGATAAACAACGTATTTATTAAAATAAGAGTAATAATGATTTAAAATAAATTATTAATTAGGTATCTATGTATTAAAAAAACTATGAGTACAAATGTTTGGAATGTAACAAGTTATATTAAAAATAAATACAAATATAAATATAAAGATAATAACTTATATATAAAATTAAATCTAAAACTATTTATATTAAAATTCTACAAGTCATTGTCATTCACATGAACAATCACGATATCTTCTGCCAGATGAGATTTCCTCTAGTCTTCCTCTTGCAGTTTTTCTGCATGCTTCACACAATCTTCCCAGTTCTTTTGCGAAACGTTTGAAATTGCTTCATGCAGTAAAACTTCGACGTCTGCAATTTTAAAAGTGCTGTTTTTGCTGGCAACTTCATTTTTTACTTGAGCCCATACCAACTCAATTGGGTTATATTCGCAATGGTAAGGTGGTAAGCGATTCACTTCGTGTCCTGACTCCAAAGCTAACTGATCCAATTTGTATATTTTTTCTGGTCGGTTCCGTTGCACCTGTAAATATAATGTTGTTTGTATATTCAACTAAACACTTAAAAGAAAACAAATGTATTGCAAACTTTAAAATACCTTTTGTGATAGTTCCGGCTTGAGCTCACTATCACTAAACTCAATCCCGTGTTGGCGGAGCCACTCCTGAATTTCATTCTTTTTGTTAGCTGATGTCGGTGCCCAATTTATTTGCTGGGAGTGGTAGGGTGCGTTGTCCATTATGATGACTGATGGTTCTTCAAGACTCTGCAGCAGCTTTGTAAAGCCTTCGGCATGGTAGTCCTCGTTCTGAGACTTCACAGCACGGAATACCCATCTGGCTTCGGTTATAAAACCATATTTTGCGCAGCCTGCATGAAAAACTGACACAACATAATTAAATGAATATCGTATTTTGTATTAAATTATTATTAAGTCGTATTACTTACATAAAAGATGACAGAATATTTACCAATTAGTCTGCCCCCCTTCCCCGTTTTTGCGTTTAAGCCGCCTTGTCCATCCTTGTCTAGCCAAATTCGTTTGCGGCTGTGATTTTGGTTCACCCAAGTCTCATCTAAATAAATTCTTGGTCGAGTGTCTTCACTATCTCTCAAGGTCTCAGAGTTTTCTCAGGAATTGTCAGTCCTAGTGAGATTTTGCTGGTTCTTCCCAGGACAGAGGTTTTTTTTTTTTATCGAACCAGTGGTAAAGTAAGAAATTACTTTCAATAAGAATTACACATGTGATCTACATTGAATAAAAAATATTATTTAATATTACTGGGCGGGGCGAATAATGACTTGGGATGGTTTTGCTTTCTTCATATATCGTTCTGATTCAAAACTTGTAATCATTTTTCGGACTATGCTACAATTTTGCACACTTATGTAATTACTATGACAATACTCACTAAACTAAACATAAAAAGTACTGAACTCATATGGAAGTTTGTTTTTAAATAAGTTTTATACTTAATTAAGTTTATTATAAGTTCTTTATCTCAAGACATCGGAAGTTGCATGCTGCAGCTATATTAGTAGTATAGTTGTAGCACGAATGGGTCGGCTCGACCGGGGAAGGACCACGCTCTCACAGAATACCAGCGTCAAATAGCAGCTTAACACTGCTGTGTTTCGTATGGTGAGTGTAGAGAACCGGAGACCCTTTTTACTGGAAAAGAGGCATTCCATCTTAATCCTCACGGGTGACAACGCATCTGCATTTTGATTTACAAACGAGGATAAAAGTAGATGTCTATGGGCCACAGCAACCACTTACCATCAGGTGGACTGTGTGCTCGTTTGTCACCCTATTCTATAAAAAAAAAGTTACCGATCGATTTGTTCTAGCTTCCTAGCGGAGAACGTAACGTTTCTTAGACTAAATGTAAGGAAAATGCTATAGAAAAGTGTTTTACAAAAAAACTATTTCTATCAAATAAGACTTGGTCTTACAGTGGCAAAGTGTTTGCGGCCTGCTAGCAGGGTCGGTCTTAGTGGTGACGAAGTATTCTTTATTGTAGATAACGACCCTCAGGAGGACTGTGTGTTCGTTTTTAATTTTTACCGTTACAGCCTCTCAAAAGTGCAAGATCATAGGCCTTCCCCATAGATTATCTCATTGGTGAAATATTTGAAATAGTTGGCACGCTTGGCAGGCGAATTGGCAACGGCAGTATTTTTTATTTTTAGTTTTTATTAGAAATGTGCTGTTGCAAATCTCCTGATTTGTTTCCCTCTGTCGCCACATACCACACCGACGGAACGAAATGGGGAACGAAGTGTATATTCTTACACCGCTACGACACGGTGTACAAAAATATGCATACCTACATGTATAAAAAATCGGTCGGATTAAGATCGCAATTAAGGTCATTTGGTATAGGGCAGTATCTTGGGGCTCCGTGCCAATTTACAACTTCATGAATCACTTTAAAACAAACGTTCAAAAAAAGTCCTGAAGTAACTTGTAGCCTATTGTATTGGCAGTCGCGATCTTTGGTTCTCAAAGCCCAAGGAAGTCGTCTTTGCTTGGAGGTTAATCCGATAGTACTTGTATTTTTTATAGAATAAGGGTGACAAATGAGCATACAGTCAACCTGATGTGAAGTGGACAATGTGGTCCATAGAAACCTACATCTTTCTTCAATGGAGAATAAAAAAGTAAATGCGTTGTCACCCCTGAGGACAAAGATAGAATGCCTTGTTACCAGTAAGGTACCATCTTAGTCCTCTATACTCAAATATATAAATTTATATATATTATATTGATGTATGAAAATATGTATGTATGTATGTATATATGTATATGTATGTATAATATGTATATGTCTGTGTGTATGTATATTTCTTTGTAACCTCCTTCGTATTTCTATCACTGCCCTAAGGTTGACTGGCAGAGAACGCTTTTAGCATTAAGTCTGCCTTTTGTTACTGTACATAATATGTAAGGTTCAATAAAGTTTAAATAAATAAATAAATAATTCAAGTTCAAGTTCAGCCATTGTATAAGTTGCAATACTGGACACAGGTTGGCCGCGCTCCTTCGGTTTGTGTTGGCGGACTTTACATGGCCTCGAAATTTTTTATTTCCCAGAAATGCAGGTTTCACTGCTGAGCAAGTAATACCTTGTGTTAAATAGTAGCTTCATGCGGCTGTGTTTCATATGGTTAGCGTAAAGGACCGTATACCCTTTCTACTATAGGAAATGAGGCATACCAGATTCTTAATTGAGGATAGATGTAGATATCTATGGACCACAACATTCACTTACAATTATTTTATATAAAAAAAAATTAAATGAATGTCAAGCAACCAATTATTACAGTCAAATTAAAATACATAGCATCCGCTCACATCAGCCGTACAATGTTGCAAGTTTGTCAAATACAATAAATACCTTTAGAAACAAAATTTGGCTTAATCGCTAGTGTATAATTTGCACAATCACACATATTATCAGCGGGAAACATGACATCACGAGACTCACCCGTCTCACGTACAATATTAGCAATAATGAAATGATTAATGATACCTGCTGTTGAAATTTAGTAATTGCAGACAAACTTCGTGAATACTGACAAAAGTAAGCGTTTATGTTTGTGACATAGGTAATTATGCGTTTGAGTAGGACACTGCGTGAATCCTCTGAACGACTGCGAGTCATAAAAACAGTGTCGTGTTGTGTTGGATTTGGTATATGCCAAAATTAAGTAGCAACTAGCTAACTTTTGAAATGTTTCAACTTAATAATTAAACTTTTAATAAAATGAAGAAGTTGGATCAACTTTAAAATTAAAAAAAAAGAGAGAAAATAGTTTCTACATCTTTTGAAATTAGTGCTATAAGATAGAGGCTTTTAAGAAGAAATTAATTTACATTTTCATTTTTGACGACTTCAAAGTCTACTTTTTCTTATTCAAAATTCTGGTTTTCTAAGATTACGGCGCTATCATAACATTACAGCGGTCCCAAAAAGACAGCCGTCTGTACGGTGACGACACGTGCAAAGTTCTATCACCGCTATAGCCGTTTTTTTTAAAAATAAATGTATATACAGATACGGGCGTAGATACTGGCAAAAATGGACGATCTTAATTAATCTGCATTAGTAATTTACTTGGGAGAATGAGCAGTCATCAGAAGAGGAAAATAAATTTTATGGTGGAAGATGAATTACGCAAAGCTCATGGTGCAGAATGTGCATTTGAGATTTTAGTTCCGTCGCCGCCTACAGGGCAATGATAAGAAGTTCAGGGAATACTTTCGCCTAACACCATTTTTTTTTTTGATTATGTACTTATTCACATAAGAGATGATTTAAGTTACAAACCATACAATAGACACGAAAAGCCTAAACCTCCGATTATAACGAGCTCGAAGAACTACTCAAAATACGTTTGGTATTTGTATGTAATTACTTCAGATTATTTTTCATACCTATTGCTAATGTTCCAGCAGTGACAGACAAGCCGAGCAATATGCGTGTTTTATATAACATGTTACCGGAAGCAAAAGTACTGGCTCCAAGTAAAAACATGTTGATGACCTACTTCCGTTACTTGCTAAAAATTTAATACCTCTGGCAAATCACAATGTTACAGCCCAAATTAATCCCACTCAAATACGGGAAATATTTAAAAAATACTTTAACGACCAGGGGCTATAGAGTGCCTACACAATTATGCGACACATTATGCTATCTACGTAATAATATATTATAGTTTATAATGAACATATAAGTTTTTTATACACCATGTAATTTATGTATCTAGCTAATTATATATAATGTACTGTAATGTGAAAAGCAAATAATTATATACATTCCTTCAGAGAATTGTACATACAGGTTTTTTTTTCTTTTCACATCACAAATTCTGTTTTCACTGGGTTTGCCTGTATTCGTTACTTTTCATCTTGTAAACAGCGTCATGATTACGCACAATATCTATTGAAAATTCATAGTCTCCAGTTTGAGTTGGAACTCATTTTGTTTATCGTCACCGGCGGATCGGACGATCCATGCGAACAACAAAACGAGTTGCAGCCACACTGTACATTAGACTAAATCTAGTTGTGAGAAAAATGCAGAATGGTTCAGTATATTACTGCAAAAAGGGACCTGTTACGTCAAGTTTACAAAAAGATGGCGTTACCTTTCAAATACTAGGATGATCAAAACGTTTTTGGAAACGCAATGAAACTCTAGGATAAGTATTTGTAAATTATTTAATGATTTTTTCAACGTAATCGCCTTTAAAGCTAACACACCTTGAAGAGCGTTTTGCAATTTGATTAATCCCCTTGCAAAAAAAGGCTTGATCCTGTGATACGAAAAAGGCTTCTACACCATACATCACCTCGTCGTCGCCATCGAATTTTTTACCACGCAAGTGTTTTTTTTAGGTGAGTAATAAGGTGAAAATTACTCGGAGCTAGGTCCGGAGAATATGGTGTGTGTTACATTAACTGAAACCCAGGAGATCGAATGGTAGCGCCTGCAATATCAGATCGATGGGTATGTATGTACGCAATTTTCCTCGACGTTTATTCTTTATCTTTAGTTTTTCGCGTAGTTTTTAATTAATGATGCCGTCACGCAAAGAGCACCTAAACTTTTTGACGATATGGTGTCAAATAAAACTCTCTCCTAGAGAGAAACCTAGACAACGTTATGTCACTATAACGTTGTCTAGGTTTCTAGGTCTAGGTTATTCATCGCTTTATTACGACTGTCA